AACCTAGGACCATACAGGGAAGTGAAACCGGGTAGATAAAAGCACAACATAGAAATAAATGCCATTTGCTTAAAGTGGCAGAGCAGAAAGACAGAAGGCACTTACATCCTTGAAGGTTTCATGGAGCTGTCATTCTAGCCCTGGTATATCTACGTCCAGACATCCTTTATGTGGAAGAGAAATAAAATTTCTCTTGTCAGATTTAGTATGTGGCCGCTTTTTCGTTCACAATATATTCACAACATTGTGCAACCACCACCTCAATCTAGTTCCAAACATTTTCCTTGCTCCTAAAGAAAACCCTATATCCATAAAACAGTTACTTCTTATTCCTCCCTACTTCCTACCGCTGGAAGTCACCAATTCTCCAGCAATGAAGGCCCTGTGTCATTGTCTATGCTTTTGTTTATAATTATCTTTCTTTTATTCTCTCCCAAACCTTTTTTCAAAATTATTTTTTCATTGAGGTATAGGTAACATACATCATATTAGTTTCAAATATACAACATAATGATTTGATATAAATATATGTGGCAAAATGATCACCACAATAAGTCTAGTTAACATTCCTCATGAAACATAGTACAAATTGGTGTTTTTCTTGTGGTGAGGACTTTTAAGATTTACTTCTCTTAGCAACTTTCAAATATGCAATACAGAATTATTGACTACAGTTACCATGCTGTACATTATATCCTCATGACTTATTTGCTTTATAACTGGAAGTTTGTACCTTTTGGTCCCCTTCACTCATTTTGGCTATCCTCATCCCCCATCTCTGGCAACCACTGTCTTCTCTCTTTCTATGAGGTTGGGTTTTGTTTTTGTTTTTCAGATTCCACATGTAAGAGTGATCATGTAATATTTGTCTTTCTCTGTTCACTTATTTCACTTAGAATAATACCCTCAGGATCCATCTATGTTGTCACAAATGGCAATCTTTCATTCTTTTCTAGGGCTGAATAATATTCCATTGTATTTATGCCACAATTTCCTTATTCATTCATCCATCAGCAGACACTTAGGTTGATTAGTAAACATAGGGGTGCATATATATTTTTTTAATTAGTATTTTTTTCTCTTCAAGTAAATACTCTAAGGAGGGATTGCTGGATATGGTAGTTCTGATTTTAACTTTTTTAGATAGCTTTGTCCTGTTTTCCATAGTGGCTGTACCAATTTACATTCCCAACAGTGCACAAAGGTTCCTTTTTGTCCACATCACTGTCAACATGTATTATTTCTTGTCTTTTTGATAATAGCTATACTAACAGCTGTGAGGTGTTATCTCATTGTGGTTTTGATTTGTATTTTCCTTATAATTAGTGATTTTTTTAGCACCTTTTCATGTACCTGTTGGCCATCTGTATGTCTTCTTTAGAAAACTGTCCGTTAAGATCCTCTGCCCATTTTTAATCAGATTATTTGTTTTTTGCTGTTAGGGTGTAATATACAAAGTGTGTATTTTGTATATTAGTCCTTTCTACAATATGATTTGAAAACATTTTCTCCCATTTTTTGTATCCCAGCCCCATTGATGTTGGGCTTGACAATGTGACTCGTTATCCAACAGGAAGCAAACAGTCTGAATTTGGTGGCCCAGCTTTGGTAGCTTTTTGTGCTGCTGTCATCTGTATGAGAAGAACTTGCCTCAGGGTGCTGCTTCCCCATCAGCTTGGGTCCCAGGTTGAAAGACTTGAGGTTTTCATTTGGGTTCAGGTCTTTGCTAACAAATTTTTCTGTATCCAAGTATAAGATATACTTTTATTTTTAAATTAAATTTATTGGGGTAACATTGGTTAATAAGATCATATAGGTTTCAAGTGTACATTTCTATGATATCATGATCTGTATGTGGCATTGTGTGCTCACCACCCAAAGTCAAATCATCTTTTGTCACCATATATTTGACCTCTAGGTGAGATATAAGAACACGCCTACTATAGTCAAATCATCTTTTGTCACCATATATTTGACCCCCTCTAGGTGAGATATAAGAACACGCCTACTACAAGAACATTACCTGGCACATTAAAGTTCATTCATTCATCATCTTTTGTGTTTCTTTGCCTCATTTATTCTTGTCCTTTCTTTCCTTTAGCCCTCTTCCCCTCCTTTTTCTCCCCAGTAATCTTTTCCTCAATACTCTTATTGCCCCTGTGTCTGCCTTGCCATCAATTCTCTGATACCAATGAGGCATCCTACAATTCAATTCTATTCTGAGACTAACTACCTGGAGTTAGCATCAGATTCAGCGGGTATAAGGGCTCCATCCCACAATAGTAGCCCCAATTCCAACTCCTTTCTGTGAACATGGATTGTGATGGTGTGTGACAAGCAGGAGGAGCCTAGAATCCTAGGTTCCAAGTTTGGCCCGTCCATTGGTCTCCTTTGAGACATTGAATATCCATCTCACTTCTTAGGCCTTATTCTCCTAATGTCTGATAGGTGGGGTTGGACTAGATAACATCTTTTAGAAGCAACACTAGTTTATGATGTTTACTCACCTCCCAAAGTTAATTTAGAGTCAAGTGGGGTGATGACTTCCAAAGTGCTTTCTAAACAGGAAAGCACATTGTAGATAACCAATTGCTTGGGAAAGTATTCTTGCATTGCTCTGTGAATGAAAGCCTTTGCTCTCAATAAGCTTACCAACCCTTCTTATTCACTATCATTGCCACTCTGTCCTCTACCCATGGCACTTATCACTGTCTGCCATTATCTTGTTTAGTTATTTTCTCCCTCACTTGATGTCAGTTTCAATAGGGCAGGACATCTCCCTATTGGAACTGACATTAAGTGGGGAAGAAAATAACTACCAGTCTCAGCATGCTGCCTGGACCACCGTGGATTCTCAGTGAACAGTTATCAAATGAGTCCTGGGCATTTTGTCAACTCCTGTCAGGTGGCTCGGAAACACTTGCACCATCATTAAGCCCTGTTCTATTTTGATGCTTTCTGTAGGGAGAAGTAAAGGCCTTGTGAATGGCAACTTCTTTGTGAACACTACAAAGGAATTAATAAAATATGTGTGTGTTTTGTAATATTGGAAATTACTTTATAACAATGCATGCTGCTAAGGCGTTTGGAAACAGTAAAAGTGTTGTAAGTTGTGAAATGCTTTGTTAAACCACAAAGTGATTATAAATGCTTATTCTGTATACCATCTAAAATCTTTATACAAATTGTTCTATAAACAACGAAGAGCTTTTATACCGCAGAATACTATGTAAACAGAAAAAGGTTTTTGCTCAGGACAACACATTTTATAAATTGAGAAATTACCTGCCTTAAACTACGAAATGCTTTATAATGTGGAACAATAAATTGCTTTATGCTTTATAATAATAAGTTATTTACAAGAGGCAAAGTCTCTTACACAATGCAGTAAGCCCCTCCTCCCTTCCCAGCCCCAGCCTCCCTTCTCCTGAGCACTGGAGACAGCACACACTGCACCTGCCTGGCAGAGAGGATGCAACCGGAGAGGGGAGGGGGTTCCTTTGGCTGTTTGGCAGCCCCATACCCACATCATCCTCCCAGGAACCATCCATCTCTCCCATCCTTCACCGTGAAACGACCTCACTCCAGACATGCCTTGGTTGGGCCCCTCAGCACGGGGCAGGAGAAAAACCAAGGCACGGGCTGATGGGAAAGCCGCCCCTCTCCCCTCTTCCTGCCCTGTGCCTAGGAGCTCAGCCTGGCAAGTCATCATGCTCAGATTTGAGTCACTGACCTAAAAACAGTGACTTCACCCTTCTGAGCCTCAATGTGAAGAGTGGATGTATTTACTTATCAACCAGGTAAATAATACTTGGTCCCACTGGTTTAGCCACCTTATCAATTCTGTCATTTACTCTTTTAAACTGCCTGTAAAGAGGATCTGAGAGAGGTGGTCTGGCCCCATCCTTCCAGAACCTCAGGTCTGAAAGAGACTGAAGAGCACCTTCCATCACCCTGATAAAGAAGAGGAGAAAAACAAAACCAGGGCCACCTGGACACAAATGTTCATGGCAGTTCTATTCACAATTGCCACTAGGTGGAAGCAACCCACCTGTCAATTAACTCATGAAGGGATAAAAAAATGTGGTATTTACATACAATGGAATATTATCCTATCTAATAATAGACAAACATGGTAATTGACCGTACCTTCACTACGCCTCCCATGGGCTAATCAGCAAGATATGCAAATTAACCGCCAACAAAGATGGCGGTTAATTTGCATACGTAGGCACGAAGCAGCAGAGTGAAGACTGAAGGCGGCTCCAGCCGGAGCAGCGCAGGCTTGGAGGCGGCTCCGGCCAGAGCAGCGCAGGCTTGAAGGAGGCTCCAGCCGGAGCGAAGGCCTGGGTCCTGGGTGCCGGAGGAAAACCGGTGCCAGCAGCCAGGGGGAGGGAAGGCCTATTGCACGAATCTTTTCATGCAACAGGCCTCTAGTTCAACCATAAAAGGAATGAAATAATGACACATGCCGGATTGTGGATGAACTTTGAAAACATTATGCTAAGTGAAAGAAGCCAGACACAAAGTCACTTATTGTATACTAATTCCATTTATAAAAAATATCCATAATAATTAAGTTCAGTGAATCAGTGGTTGCCAGGGGTTAGAGCAGTGGTTCTCAACCTGTGGGTCACGACCATCGGAAAACACATATAGCATATCAGATATTTACATTACAATTCATAACAGTAGCAAAATTAGTTATGATGTAGCAATGAAAATAATTTTATGGTTGGGGGTCACCACAACATGAGGAACTGTATTAAAGGGTCGTGGCATTAGGAAGGTTGAGAACCACTGGGCTAGAGGGAGGGGAGAATGGGGGGTGATGAAAATGTTTTAGAACTAGATAGAGGTGATGGTTGCAAGACATTATCATTTTACTCAATGTCATTGAGTTGTACACTTCAAAATTAATAGTTAATTTTGTGTTATGCAAATTTTACTTAAAATAAATAAAAAAAGAACAAGGCAGCACAGATAACCATTTGGCCCAGAAGTAGCAGAGCTTTATTTTGATCTCACTGGTTTTGGAGAATAAAATCAGAGAGGTAAGAGAGACATTTTGGAGTCACATGGCACAGAACTTGAGGGCTGCCCTGGCTCTTTCAACTCAAGGAAGAAACAGGAGGGTGGAAGTGGGGGATATAGATGGAGACAAGGTAGAGTGGCAGGGCACCAGATTCTGCTCAGCTACCCTAGGTAACCTTGGATTTAAATCATTCCCTCACTTGGGCCTCAGTTTCCCAAGCTGAGCTAGAGGTGGTGGTATCACTAAGGTTCTGAAGGTATTTCTTGGTCCAGAAACCCTAAGGTTTTATCCTGGGTCAGCAGTGCAGACCATTGGGGATGAATGGTGCCTAGCAGACTGGATGAAGGAGAGACTCAGGAAGGTACTTTCCAGAGGGGACAGTGAGCAGGGAGGAGTAGGCGGCCTCTAAAAGTTCATTGTAGATACAGGTGGAGGCTGGAGGCAAGGACGCTGAAGGGAACTATATCCCTTCTCCTTCTCTCCCCAGCGGGGCAGGAAGGAGAGCTGGTACACAGGGGGCAGTTTCCCCAGCCCATTCTTCCGTGGAGTGAGGTCGATATCTTCTGGGGCCTTGGGAGAGCCCAAGGAAAAGTTCTTCAGTATGGAGGTCAAGAAGAGGAAGAGCTCTGAGCACAAGCAGTTTCCTGAGGATGTAAAGAGGGAGTGTGTCATTGGGGGAGATTCCTGGGAACCCTCCACCTCCCAGACATTTGCATGCTCATTTACATAGATTTACATATGCTCCTGTTCTTGTCCTCAATACCAACAACCATAACAACCGTGTGTGTGTGTGTGTGTGTGTGTGTGTGTGTGCATGCATGAGTTTCTCTCAGTCCCCACCTCCTCTCAGCCTATCCCCTACCATGCCCTCCGCTGTCTCTCTTGATCTCTGTTTGCTGTTTCTATCTTTTTCTGTGTCTCTGATTAAGTATGTTCCCAACTAAGCCAATTTATGAGAAAATGTGAAAATGTCCTAGATGGATATGCAGTAGGTGGGCACCAGTACCCTTCTTGGCTGTTAAAATATTGAACTACTTTGACAATTGGTGCACAGTCACTGCTCTAAGCTTCTGAGTGGTGCAGTGGTCTGGCCACCTTGGTCCCTTCTGCATGTACCCCACCTGCCCACAATCAGCAACTAACAGGGAGGCCTCCCAGACCCAGATCTTGCACCAACCAGTGGCAATTCTGATTGGTCAGTGGCCACATCATGCTTGATAAGCATTTTGAATAGCACTTCCTCCCACCATCACCCTATATTTCTGCTTCTCATATCCCCCACTCATATCTCCCTGCAAAGATGGGGTCAAACTTCACAAAGTGTCCCATAGAGAAGGAGTCATTTATTGACTTTATTATCCATTATTGATGTTAGCACAGGCTGTCCACTGGCATAACCAAGGGAGAGCACAAACATGTCCCTGGGCTGGGCCACACTTTGGACTGCATCCTGTTGCCCTGCAGTCCAAAGGAGGGGCCGAGAGCTGCCCGGTGCAGTGTGGTAAAGTGCATTACTGTTCATAAATATTCATGGCACACCTCTGGGTGCATAAACATCTCTGCCCTGTTGATCTTGGATGGGCCTTGTTTTGGCCATTAAAGTGAGAGCTACACTGATGTGTTATGTTGCTTTTCTAGTTTCTGCATGTGTCAGGATAGAGTCTCAGTAGCCCCCATTTCTACGGAAGTGGGATGGACATTTCCATGAGCATAAAATTAATTTTTTTGCTTTAAGCAGCTAAGATATTCAAGCTGTTTATCTTAGGCTAGCCTGCCCTGAATAATACAGGCCACGACTTTCTGCTGGGCCTTGGGCCTGCCCCCTTCCTCTGGGCTTCTCTTGTCTCCACTCTACAAGACAGTGTATGATCTGACATTAAGACATCTACTATTTTTTTAACAAGTCTAGGAGAAAAGCAATTTGACCATCTTGATAGGAGCTGAAAAAATATTTGAGAATATTCAACACCAAATCTTAATTTAAATTTTTCAAAAAGAACCTGTTGCCCTTGCTGGTTTGGCTCAGTGGATGGAGCGTCAGCCTGCGGACTGAAGGGTCCCGGGTTCGATTCCAGCCAAGGCCACATGCCTGGGTTGAGGGCTTTATCCCCAATGGGGGATGTGCAGGAGGCAGCCAGTCAATGATTCTCTCTCATCATTGATGTTTCTATCTCTCTTTCCCTCTCCCTTCCTCTCTGAAATCAATAAAGATATATATTTTTAAAAAGAACCTGTTATAAAATGCAGAGAAAAAAGATATTTTTAATTTAATTTTAAATTGAGAAAAAATAAGTGGCAGAATAACCACAAATATCTGGAAAAGGTCATAGTCAGCATTAAGCTTAATGAAAAAAATGAAAATATACTTCTTAAAATTAGGAATTAGATAAGATTGCTCACCATTACTACTATTCTTTACCATGATTTTGGAAGTGCTAGGTCATGATATCAGGGAAAAAGTGACATATGGATTTAATGTAAGAAAGAATTGACTAAAAGTGTCATCATTTGCAGAAGCTAAACACCAATTATCTGGAACCCTAAGCAGACACAGTGAAAAACTGTTAGTAATAAAAGTACTATAAAATAGTCCAATTATGGAAAAAATATCTCCCCCAAAAGCATAATACTAATGAAAACAATTAAAAATACTATTAGTAGAGTCATATGGACTGAATTGTGTCCTCCCAAAATTTACATATTGAACCCCTAACCTGTAGGTGGGGCCTTTGGGAGGTAATTGAGGTTAGATGAGGTCGTGAGGGTGGGCCCCCATGGTGGGATTAGTGTGCTTATAAGAAGAGGAAAAGACAGCAGAGCTTTCTGCCATGGGAGGACACAAGAAGGTGGACAACGGTGAGCCAGGAAGAGAGCTCTCACAGACTCTGGCCATGCTAACACCCTGATCTTGGACTGCCAGCCTCCAGAACTGTGAGAAATAGATTTCTGTTGTTTAAGCCATTCAGTCTGTGGCATTTTGTTTTGGCAGCCACAGCTGACTAGTACAAAGAGGTTCTATGAACAATAGCAACACTCTTCTTCCATGTTTCTTAGGAATAAATTTAGCATGAAATATGCAAAACCTAGTTTAAAAAAAAAATCCAAGATGCCACCAAATCATACAAGAGTAGATTCAATGAACACACTATCTTTTTGTCTGAGGTATCTTAAATTTGTAAAGTTGTCAAAGCTATACAAATGAAACTAGAAATGTAATTCCTAAAGATCTTATTGAAATTTTTTGAGACCTTGAAAAATTATTCTAAAGTACACTTGAAAGAAAAAAATGTGTCACAGAAACCACAAGACTATCTGAAAAAGAAGAGTAATGGAGGAGACTATCCCCTGTAAAATATTAAAACATACTGTAAAGATATAACAATTCTGACATTACGGTATACTCATAGTTAAAAGAGGAAGACAGATCAGTGACTTAATGTAAACAAACCAGAAATAGACATAAGGTACTTAACCTTTTAGCATATGACAAATTTTAAGTTAATGGCTGAAAGTTGAATTATTTGATAAGTGATTGGATCAGGGTACTTGTACAAACCTGAAAGTAAGTATTCTTTAAATTTTAACGTCCCAAGTGACTCCTGGTCCTCACTATACTCCAGGGCTTGAATTTTAATAACTGGCTAACGAAAAAATAAGTCAAATTTTTCTCCTTTTCCTTTCCCTTCTGTTCCCTTTCCCCCCCCTTACCTTTCTCTCATCTACTTTTCTATTATCTATCTAACTATCTATCTACCATCACATACCTTTGTGTGCATGCACATATTTATTAATCCTCACCCGAGGATATTTTTCCATTGACTTTTCAGAGAGAGTGGAAGGGAGGGAGATAGAAACATAAATGTGAGAGAGACACATCGATTGGTTGCCTCCTGCACATGCCTTGATTAGGGCAGGGGATCGAGCCTGCAACCAAGGTACCCTTGGTTGGAATCAAATCCGGGACCCTTCAGTATGCAAGCTGACACTCTATCCACTGAGCCAAACCAGTTAGGACTGCATGCACATATTTAATAAAAATTTTGGAAAAACATCTCGGTAATATTAACAAGTCTGGTTTGGTGCTGAGTTACAGGTGATTTTTACTTTCAACTTTATTACTTTCTTATTTATATAAAAATTAGAAAAAAACAATAAAGATATTTTATTTTGAAAGAAAAACTGAACATGCCTTTCCCAGTTCTTGGCACATAACAGGTACTCAATAATGGATCATTTATTTGCCTGTTCCTTGTGTATACGTGTGGGTGCCTGTGTATGTCTGTGTCTTCCACTTGATCTCCATCACTGACTTAGTCTCCATTTTTCTCCACCATCAACCTCCTCCGTGTCCTTCCCCTTCGGACCATCTTTGTCTCTTGGGAGTCTTACTTTCTCTTTCCTTCAGAATTCTAATCTTTTCCAAAAATGTTCACCCCGTTTGGGGTTGGACAAAGGGAGCAAGTCACACACAGAAGAAAGGGTGAACAGTGTTCTTATAGGGTGGGAAGGACGTGGCTTACCCATGGAGAAAGCAATGAAGGCCTCCCGCTTCCTGAAGTTGCCCTCCACATCCAGGAAGTGGCCAGGGTAGAAGACGTCTGGCTTCTCAAAGTACCGTGAGTCATGGAGGACAGAGTTGATGATGGGGTACACAGTAGTGCCCTAGAGGATGTCAAAGCCAAGGGCCCCAAATGACCACCAACAAGGAGTGGCTGAATCATCAGGGTACCACAATTGATAAGGAGCTTCACCTACTGTGTAGCTCTACAGTTGGGAACTGAAATATTGAAATGATTCTGCCCCATTTGGTTAATAACTGTCCCAAGCCCTCCTGATACCAACCACCCTGACACACCTTCCTCGAGATTTTTTGGACATTTCCATGATCTATCAACTAAAAGTTTCACATATAGCTTAGCAAAGGCCTCCAAGTCCAGATACCAGCATAAAGGTCAGAATCTAGTCTGATGGGTGGTGCCCACTGGCTCATTAGGTACTATGACTACCACCCCTATGTACATCTATACTTGGAAACACTTGGGGTTGGTTTCTTTGATACTTTCCTCTCAGAGAGAGTCATCGTTTCCTTTGTGTATGTCTCTTACGTCTTTTCTCATAAAAAGGAAACACCACAGGGATAGAACACAGACATAGACTCCCTCGAAGCCTGTTGTCTGAGCCAGGCTCACAGGCTGGGGAGGAGGTATACAGTTCTCTCCATACTGTCATCTGTTTACACAAACTTGACTTGGGTCCCCTACATAAAAGCCAAATGAAGTTATTCCTTCCACCTTGCGCTATGTCCTGAGAACTTGACTTTGTGATCAGAATAAACAGGACTCTGCCATACTGGAGTGCATCTGACAGCCAGCTAAATAGATTGGGGATTCAGCTGTCCCTTTGTCTCTTAGTTTGGTTGTGCCCGCTCTCAGGGGAAGTTGTCATAGGAAAGGTTTGTCATCTCAATCTTCTTCGCTTTGTTAGTGACTGCCTGTAGCAACAAAGGGCTTTTGCTGTCTTAGATTGTTCTGGGAATAAACTTTTTTGGATTTTGTGAGGGCTGTATTTTTTATTTGTACTGTTATGTAGGATGATTCTTGCATCCTTGGTTAAGCCATAATAAGGCTTATTTGCTTGAGTCGCTTTTAATCTTACTCATCGTGGCCAGATGATAGATCGTTTAAGTTGGCTATATTTGAGAAAAAAAATTTCAATAGCTTTTTTGAAAGGTTTGTTGCAATAGGCTAATAAAAAAATTTAGACACAACCTTGGCCAGGTGGCTCCGTTGGTTTAGAGCAGTGGCCGGCAAACTCATTAGTCAACAGAGCCAAAATCAACAGTACAACGATTGAAACAGTACAACGTTGAAATTTCTTCTGGTGAATCAATATCAACGGTACAACGATTGAAATTTCTTTTGAGAGCCAAAATTTTTAAACTTAAACTCTATAGGTAGGTACATTGTTATTAACTTAATTAGGGTACTCCTAAGGCTTAGGAAGAGCCACATTCAAGGGACCAAAGAGCCGCATGTGGCTCACGAGCCGCAGTTTGCCGACCACGGGTTTAGAGCGTCGTCCTGTACACCAAAAGGTTGCAGGTTTGATCCCCTGTTGGGAAGCATACAGGAGGCAACCAATTGATATTTCTCTCACATTGATATTTCCCTCTCTCTCCCTTTCTCTTTCCAGAAATCATAAAAACATATCCTCAGATGAGGGTTAAATTTTTTTTAAATTTACATACAGAGGATACCTAAAATGTAAGACGGATGTAATTCCTAATGCTCCCTTCTATACTCCTTTGAATATTCATTCAGGTAATCCTCTGTCTAAATTGCTTTCCTACTCTAAAGAGATTATTGTGTGGACAAAGGCCAATCTAGGGTCATAGTTAAAGATCTCCTGAAGATAGCTATTGCCTTTGTCCCAAAGCTTGGCTTTCTGCCTGCCTGGGACATGCAGGCTGTCAGCTCTTTCTTTGGGCTATTGGAGAGAAGGACTCTAGAAGTTCAGAAGATTTATATAATCTTGAATCCATGACATTGTTGAATACTGCCAGAAACATTTGCTGTTTGTCCTGGCTGAAACCCGATAAGATATTTGAAAATTTAATAATTCTATGATTTAAAAATTGGCCTAATTTTAGAGCCTGAGAGGAATGTTTTTAGGTCTTCTCCCCTAAGCTAAAATGAAAGTATGCACCCAGAGGAAAAGAAGCAAATCAGGATGATGTAGTTGATGGGTACATAACCCTATGATGTCACTTAAGTTACAACCCAATTTTTTCAGAGCTTGAGATCAATTTTCCTTATTTTACAAATCTTCCCAGTCAGAAATGCAATCCTAGGAACAATTCAAAACCTATCTATCTTTCCCATTCCCAATTCCTAAACCTAAAGAAAAAAAAAAGAGGCTAAAAAAAAATACAAGCTGCTCCACAGCTTCCATATGATTAGTTGTCAAGGACAAATATGAATCTTAATTGTCTTCACAAATATTAATCTCTAACCATCTGAGCAGATAAACTGAACTTTCCTTTTATAACTGGTAAGTTTTACATTATCATACCCATCTCATGGCTAAAATTTTAAAATGAAAACTATGTAAGGTCTCTGTTTGCATATATGTGTCTATGAATGTTTATAAATGTACGTTTGTTACATATATGTTTGGTATTTTCTACTCCACATGATATTGCTAATTTGTAAAAGAGCTCTACTTAATTGGCTTAAATAAGTGCATATATTAAACTTCTGAAAAATATAAACTAACTCAAGTGCTTTTCAGGTTCATGTGCTCTGAGGTAAATATTTGGTACTAAAGCTAACATAGTTTTTTTAGTTTAAGATAGGTATGTGTTTGGTGTTATCAGAATTAAATATAACATTTTTGTTCTACCTGTTTTTGTTGTTGAATAAATCCATTTTATCAAGAAAAATAACTTAAGGTGATGGCTAATTGCATTAATGTCTTATAAAATTAGTAGTCTAAATATAATTGTTAAGAGCAAATAAATTAAGTAGATGTATGTAAGATGAGGTTTATTTTAGCAATGTTATGATATGTCTACTTTTAACAGTTTTCCAAATCTCTTTGGTAACTTACACCCTTAGAATTTTGCTAATTAAGTTAATTGATGAGTCAGGTTAAATTCATTGAATATCCAGATCATTTCCAAATAAGGTAAAATAATGGAACATTAATTACCAAACAGAAGCCTGTCTACTTTTGGTTTCTTATTACAGATAAACTAAAAGAAAACATGTCTCATGCCACATTGAAAAATTATACTATGAAAAAGTATATATTTCTAGAAATTATGGAATATGTTTATAATTTGCCAACCTAAAGAATACTAGTGTAGCAGACAATTTACAATTGTTTATTTAATTTTCACTAGAACTTAAGGTTTCTAAAGGTTAAGAATTCTAATATATGTAATTAAAGCTACAAATAAGAAAAAGGGAAACAACTCTATATACAAGAAAAGTGGGATGTGTCTTGGCTTTGAAAACGTATGAGGTATGGAGATGTGTTTTAGTTAAGGGAAATGAAAGTGATTTTGTCCTGGTTGGGATGTGAGAGGAGACAGAGAGATAACTTTACCTTGTAGAATTAAACTGGCTAAAGCTGAATTGTTATTATAGGGTTTTAAAATTATTTTTCTTTATTTATTTTCAAATTATAAGAGAAAGTTTATTTAGGAAGTAAGCCAGCTGAACTGTGTGGGCTCAGGAAATAAGTTACAGAAGCAAAAGAAGGGTCCTTGGAGCTTAGGGGAGAGAAAGGCAAAGGTAACGCTTCGGGGGAAATAAAGAGGGGGGAGCCACAAGGGTGCTCCTGAGAGCAAGCGTGCAAGTTATTTTTGAATTGCAGTTGACATTCAATATTATTTTATATTAGTTTCAAGTCTACAGTATAGATGTCAGACATTCACATAATTTACAAAATGATCACCTCAATAAGTCTGGTACCCCTCTGACACCATACATAGTTATTATAATATTATTGACTATATTCCCTATGCTGTACTTTACACCCCCATGACTATTTTATAACTACCAATTCTTAATCTATAGGGGTTTTTCAAAATGAGCTGTAGTATCAATAATGTACTTATATGAAACTGAAAGTTAATATTTCTTTTACCTGCCAAAAGGAAAAGTTTTCCTGTACTAGTATGCCCCTGATATGAGATTATAAAAGGAAGGCAATATTTTTTTATTAATATGATTTCCTGTGCTCTTTATCAGCAGGTCTTTAAGTAAACCTAGTATTGTTAATATTAAAAGAGCTAAATTTTGCTCCCGACTAAATGACCTTCTGTATTTGTCTTTGAAATCTTTTATAGTTGGTATGGTTAAATGAGTAATTAAGTATCCTATATAATAAAGAGCTAATATGCTAATTAGACCAAACAGCAGAACAACCGTCTAGATGACCTTCCGGACGAAGCCAGGGTTGCGAGGGCCAAGGTAGCAGCTGGGGCTGCGAGGGCCTACCCTTGCATGAATTTCGTGCATCAGGCCTCTAGTTGTTTCATAATGACCTATGATCCTATTGAGTCAAGTGTTTTACAACCTCTTTGATATATCTGACAAACTTCCCCAAATTAAATTCTAAATGAAGTCCTTTAGACCTCTAGCTAACTTTGAACTTTGTCATAGAGTCCCTGAGATATCTCAAAGATTTGTTCTCTCTCCATATACAAGGACATATGTTACATGGATAGCATTGTCAAATAAGTGATGTTAAACCTCCTTAGATTACATTTGTGTGGGTATTAATGCGTTCTAGAAATTGTATAAAAATTTTAAAATTCTGATATATCTTGGTACAAGGCTGTTACTAATAATACTAGTTATTATCTTAGAAAGTTGTGTGTTACAGAAATAAGCAAATTTCCTTGTCAATTTCACTATACTCTCATGAGATCTTTAACCATGTAGAATAAAATTGTTAAGAGCAAATAAGTATTTTTGTCATTTACAGTTATTGTCTTACTTTGATGCTTTCACAAATATGTTTCATCTTCAGAGCAATTCTTGGAAAAGATTCTGATATTACTCTAGAATACAGGATTCTGATAAACTTTTATATCATACCATTGAACAGGATAAGAATTTGCAGAACTCTAATGAAGAAACTGATGGCTTCATAAAACTGCTAATAAAAGATCAACAATAATTAATTACATGGGACTAAATTAACTAATGAAGATAATGGAATCTAATGAACAAAATAAACAAACTAAAGAAAAACAATATCATAGATAGAGAGAACAGAATGACTGCTATCAGAGGGGAGAGGAGTTGGTGACTGGGTAAAAAAGTGAAGGGATCAAGCAGAAACAACCAAAACAAAACCTCATGGACAACAGCATGGTGATTACCAGAGGAAAGGGGGTGGAAGAAGTATAAGGTAAAAAGGGGATATAAATGGTGACAGAAGGAGGCTTGACTTTGGATGGTGAACACACAATACAATATACAGATGATGTATTATAGAATTTTACACTTGAAACCAGTGCCACCTCCAATAAATTCTATTAAAATTTTTAAAAGGAAAAATGATAATTAAAACTGTTATGACTTTGCTTTGAAATAGTTCTGCTTAATTTATTCAATTTCCAGATATAAGAACTGTTTTTCTCCTAAGCTACCTATGACGTAGTGCAATTTGGTAAATTATACCTTTGTATGCAGAGTTGAAACATTTATCTTTTTCTCTCTACTGGCTATATTATTCAAACCTTTGACTGAAATGTCATATTTGAGAGAGACAGGCATAGACTCAGATATAACATACAGCTCTAAGGAACTAAGATTGATTTATGGAAGCCAATAAAGCCTACTTGGAAAATTCAGCCTAGTACCTTTCTCTTTTTTTTTAATATATTTTATTGATTTTTTACAGAGAGGAAGGGAGAGGGACAGAGAGCCAGAAACATTGATGGGAGAGAAACATCAATCAGCAGCCTCCTGCACACCTCCCACTGGGGATGTGCCCGCAACCAAGGCACATGCCCTTGACCGGAATCGAACCCGGGACCCTTCGGTCCACAGGCCGACGCCCCATCCACTGAGCCAAACCGGCCAGGGCCAGCCTAGTACCTTTCTTACAGAGTTCCCAGCAGTCTTACCAGATGAGTAAGAAAGGTCCTGCCCTGTGGCAGGCACAGGAACCTCGGGATATTTTGGGGACCTTGAAAAGAGAGGAATTTACCCAAATCTATAGGCACTGCAGGCAGAGTCTTATGGCAAGTCCTTGCTTGACTTTCCTGGTCTCAAGAGACCTTTAAAAGTCAATCTGAAGATTCCTTGTGAAAGTTTCTAGCAAGACACATTCAAAAGAAACTATAGATGTTGATTATTCTTGCTACACCTGTGTAAAGAACAGGCCAAGCTCATTAAAACTAGATTTATTTTACAAACAAATTAGCCTGAATTTGGCTATTTTTGGTAAAAATAGGGGTGATTTTAGAGAGAAAAATGATGTTTCGGTAACATGCCTTTGGGGATATCAAATTCTACTGCTATCTGTTATCTTTTGAGGTTTTCTTTTCTACCTGTAAAATGGACTAGACCCTGAATTCTAGTGTCCTCCAATACCTACTATGATTTTCTGAATTAATATTTCCAATTTTTCTCTCACTTTTCTGACTTGGAATCATTATGAACTAAAATTCTCTTTTTCCTGAAGTCCTGCAAACTAAAGCTAAATGACTTCATATTAACTGAAGGAAATCACCACAGTAGCCCTTGAATGGGCAATCTTTGTGCCTGTTGGACAGCCACTCAGAAAGATAACAGACATTCAAACTGCAGACCAGGGAAATCTGTCAGAGTCCCTGCCTGCCTTTATCCCAGCTGAAGAGGACTTGAGCCGAGATCTGGAACTCTGCTTGACTGATGGCCTTCAGAACGCAGAACCTGAGATTACAGTCTTCTCCAATCATTAATTATTATTTTTGTTTTTCTCCACAGAGATGCCTCTTATAAAATACCTTATTTCTTGTACCATAGAACCTAACTTTGGGGGGGCCACCTCACCACTTTCTGAACTGAGATACAACTATTTAACTGAACTCATCTGTTCTCATAACTAAGAGATTGGTTCGATGAGATGGAGCAATCTATTGGCCCAACTTCTGGAATGTGAAACTTTTCAGAAATTTTCAAAGGCGGGACTGAAGGGGTTCAGACCAGCCTCCCCAAAATATGCTACTTTGTTATGTAGATTATTTTGACCTAAAGACAATAGAGACCCTGCAGGCTCAGGAGAGACTTCTACCCTCCTTCTCCCTTAACTTCCTAGAAGAATTTAAGTTACGGGCTTGCCCATAATGTGGTATTACCAGAGATCACTTTTTATGACCTATCTGTATAGCAGGGAAAATACCTAATTACTAAAAATCTGCTCTTTTTATCAACCTATGAATTATCTTCCTCTCCTCTGAAGACCCAGGTCACTTACCATATTCTTTAGCTCAGGATGACATATACATGTCATTTTATTTTCCATCTCTGAAACTCTCATGTATGCGGGGGCCCCATGCATATGTATGTAATTAAATTTGGTCATGTTCTCTTGTGACTATGTCTCGTGTAAAGTTAATTATTAGATGAGCCAAAGGAACCTAAAGGAGTAGAGGGAATTATTTCCTCCCCCCAAAGGTCCATAACAATGTGCTCAAAAAAGTTACCTATAAATGACCTGCAGGCTCTTGGGAAGGCCTTTTGAACTACTTACTAAGCTGTGGGGTAATTGTCCCTTCCTAATGAACGCATCAAGAAAGAAATCAATGGCTTCTTTATGGAGAAGTCCTGCCTGATGTTTCATAACTTGGGTAATGATAGGTAGATAGAAATTCATTCAACACTAAGGTCCGCCTTTTTTTTTTTTTTTTTAACTGAAAATGAGTTCTGGCTGGAACTGAAATCATATCCTGCTGTTCCACTGATTTAGTATGTGCTCTTATATAAGTCACTTCCCCACTCTGGGCCTTAAATTTCTTACCTGTAAAATAAAGAGGTTTGATGAGATGAGAGTTTCTCCAAGTCTGATCTGCAGACCATGAGCATGAGATTCAATCAAGGGATGTTTAATTTGTAAATTAGCAATAAGTTACAAATAATCAAGTTCTTTGCCAACCTAAGTGTTTCTGTCAAAAGCCATGTGTTTCATAGACTAAAAAATGCTCTGTGACAGGCAGATAGCTCTGGTGATAGTGGTGTTAGCAGGGTGGAGGGATTAAGCAAAAAAGGGGGGGAAAAGAGAGAGAACTCATGGACGAGGACAACAGTGTGTTGTTAGCAGATGGGGCAGGCTGGTGGGTGGAGGTGGAAGAAGGGATAAATGATAATGGATAAAATAATAAATAAATAAATAAATAAATAAATAAATAACACATTTGATTAAAGAAAAAAATGCTCTGTGAATGATTATGCTTTGTGCCTGGATCAGCATAAAGCACCTTATAATCTCCCAAGTGTTTCTGCAATTTGCAAAACACTTCAGAAGGAAAAAGTACCTTCAAAACCAGGGGTGAGCAACTCCTGGCACGCGTGCCAAACATGGCACGCCAGTAACTTTTGCTGGCACGCGAAACCCTCTCTTATAATCTTCCATTTACAATTTTTTTAATATCGACTTCTTTATTTTTCAGATAAATTCAGTGTAGGTGCATCTTAGATAAATAAATAATTTTACATAACAAGTTATCTTAAAGACCATAGACATGGATTGACGAGAGAGGGGAAGAGCAATTTCTATGCCTCTGCCTTAACTCTCCCTGCCTTCCTAGATCAGACCAGTGTTTTGGTTTCATCCACATACGCTTGTGAATCTTTGTTCTCAGTGATGAATTTTGTTAAGTCTCGTAATAGGAGTAGCCTGACGGATGAAAGTAGTAGCTCGTGCATATCTCTGAAGGTCACGAAATATAAACCTGATGTAAAATCTCTGTCATCAGTGATGCAGCAGCAAAAGTCCCACTGATAATATCAAACGGAGTCATAAAGTTTTCAGCTGCCTCCTGCACACCCCCTACTGGGGATGTGCCCGCAACCAAGGTACATGCCCTTGACCGGAATCGAACCTGGAACCATTCAGTCTGCAGGCCGACGCTCTATCCACTGAGCCAAACCGGTTAGGGCAAAAATAAATGTATTTTTAATCTTCATATACTGTGTTTTTGTCGTTTAAATGAATTTTATTATTTCTTCAAGGGTCTTCACATACATACACCTTAAGAGATATCAAGTAGGCGTAACATGTTCTCAAAAAATTAGGGTTGGCACACAGAAGAATTTTGAGTCAGAGATTTTGCTGGTTTTGGCACGCACTCACAAAAAGATTGCCCACCCCTGTTCTAAACTATAGGGTGCTTCATTAAATAAAAAATATTTTGTAAACTGTAAGTACCTCCTCAACTTCAAAGAGCTTTGTCAGCAGCAAAGCTTTAGTGTAAGTTGCAAATACTTACAGGGGTAGACTTTATATTTTTCACAGCGGAGGGTGGTGCTGGAGATGTCCGTACCAGCAAAGAACAGCTGGACCACCGTGAGGAGAAGACTCTTATGGTGGAACTTACGCTCAGGGTCAGAGCTCTCCTGGGACAGTGATGGAGAATTCTTAACATCACCCCTTGCAAAGATTTCCAGTTTCTGGATCTATTCTACTTGCCCAACCCCATGTTACTCTATGCCAGTTTTTCTATTCTTATTTTCTTTTTTTCTCTATTCAAGGCCAACAATATAGAAGAAGGGTTGGCTCTGGAGCTAGACTACCAAGGTTCAAACACAGGTCCTACCATTTATTAACTATGTGTCTTTGAGCAAGAAACTGACCTCTATGAACCTTAGTTTATTATCTGGGGTTGTTTTGATATTATGTACGTAAGTGCTCAATAAATGTTAGGGATTAATATTTTGTTGTTGTTATTATCTTCTCTGTCCTTGGGTATCTTTGCTGTCCTGACTGGCCCTTGCAGCTATCATTATATGGGTGATATTGAAAATATTTAATAACCTGTCTGGCATTAGACCAATTAGAAGAACACCTGCCTCCAAATAATCAGAACTGACATGGGCCTCAAACCAATCAGAACAAACATAGGTCTATGAACAATCAAAGGAAGATGGGCCTCTGACTAATCAAAACACAACTGGGGCCCTGGCCAGTTTGGCTCAGGGGTTAGAGTGTCGGCCCAAGGACTGAAGGGTCTCAGGTTCTATTTCCAGTTAAGGGCATGTACCTCGGTTGCAGTCTCGATCCCCAGCCCTGGTCAGGGCAAGTGCAGGAGACAACCAATCAATGTTTCTCTCCCCGCCACCTCTCCTTTCCCTCCACTCTCTCTAAAAAAAAAATCAATGGAAAAAATATCCTCAAGTGAGTTTAAAAAAACAAAAAAACACAAATGGGTCTCTGACCAATCAAAATGAGGGTGAGAGAGCAGAGTCTTAAAGGTCCTTTGCAATGCGGGGGGGGGGGGGGGGAGAAAAGACATATGTACTACTATTTGTAATACTCTAAACAATAAAATAAAAATTTTTTTAAAAAGGTCCTTTGCTAGGCCAGATATTAATTCTTTAGTTGCTACCTCTTAACAGGCATTCATGGAGGGGAATCTAGAGAGGCTCAAGAAAAAATGGGGTGTGGGGAGCAGAGGATTGGGTGAGCAGTGGCTTTCTTACAAATATTAGGGAAGTATTTCAATACAGTATTTAAAAAACACAAACATCATACTTTAACACACAAGCTCAGTGTCAGTAGTGTGTCCATCACTCTCTTTCCTGCCCGCCCACACCCAATCCAGCAGAGTCCTTGCCTTGTCCATGAGGAGCAGGAAGGAATCGATGAGTCCTCTGGGGCACAGGGTCCAGCGTTTTCCAGTGCATCTCAATGACCTCAGTGACAAAATCTTCCACTTCTTGAATGAGACTAGACAAGCGAGTGGGTGCCAGGGAAGTGTTTCAAGATACCAGAGAAAAATTCAAACATCTACAGGAAAGCCAGAACCTGTTCTAGTCTCTAGGTTGGTGCTGTGGGTGTTGCAGTTGTGACTGCACACACAGATGCATCTGAAGGGCACCTTTCACCCGGTGAGCTTGGAGAATGTGCCTCCCAGCTGAAGAGACAATACCTTCTCTGCTATGTGAACAGCTATACCCTTCCCCAGTCACTCTTATAGTTGTCAAGATTTCCTCTTTCAGAGTCTACCCTTATAGAAGGCCTGATTGCTATCCCCAGTCAGACTCAATGCCTCACCTGGCAGGGTGCAGGGGATGAAGTGTGTGCACAGAACACCAACCTCTGATGCAGTCTTGTTTTGCTGCTCAGGACAGAAAGCATCGGATCCCTTGCCAAGGTCCACTCACCTCAATTGCTGGCCACCATGGAATCTTTGGCCTTACCTGGCTGTACAAAGAGCTGATAATGGTGAAAACTTCATTCAGTAAATTTAGCAGCTGTAAGAATCTAGGGTCCTGGTAATTAAAGCGCTCTCCAAAAACGACGGAGCTGCTGGAGAAGGGTGGGGGGTTTACTGCACACTCTGATTTAATGATAAGCACTCATGCATGCATCAACAGTAAGGATTTTCATATAAAAACAAACAAAGACAATGGAGCAGATGATGTTGGCTTTGATGGAGTTAAAGAGGGAGTTGGGATCCAGATAGGGCCCTGAGGATGAGAGATCTGTCATGAGTGGTTCTCTTCTGGGTGGCTCTGGCCTGGCTGGTACTCTCTTAGTATGTGTGATTGTTGTTGTTTGTGAGTGTGTGTGTGTGTGTGTGTGTGTGTGTGTGTGTGTGTGTGTTTTCTATTTCTCTGGTTTAGCCTGTCTTTCACTGGCCTCTACATCTCAGCTTTTTTTCTGAGAATTTTCCCTCTGTGACTCTTGTTTTTCTTGGTCTCTTCATCTGACTTTCTGTGTCTGTCTCTGGTCTTCTCTATGACTCTCCTTTGAGACCAAGCCCCTTCTCCATGATTTCCCTTTTCAGAGCCTCCCGTGTTCCTTGTCCTTGGCCTCACTGACACTGAGTGTCCCAGACTTGATTTCTATCCTTACCTTTTTCTTTCTAGGGCTTTTCCTTGCAGTGTCTGATTCTAGATTGATCTTTCTCAGCATACTCAGGTTTTCTCTCTTGCTTTCTCTTACTCGCCCTCTCTCCTTCCCGGTCTCTGTCTCTCTTTGTCTTTCTCATTCTTTTTCTCTTTCTCTGTCTCTAAACCTGCTCCTGCATCTCTCTGTGGCTGTGTCTGAATCCTTCTCCATCAGTCGTGTTCTCTCCTCCCTCTGTGTCCCCATCTCACCCACCTCTGTCTGTCCCTCCCCCCTGTCCTGACCAGTGCTTACCCTGGGATTTCCACAGCTCCTCCACCAGACGCTGAGTCTCATTCTGAATTAGCTTCTCAATGCTCTGCTTCCCCATCCCAAAATCCCTCATGGTGGTTAGAGAGAATCGCCTAAGGGTCTTCCAAGACTTTCCACTGGCAAGAACCACACCTCATTGATGGTACATGAAGGGAAGGTTTTAGGATGCATAGAATATTCCCTTGTCCTTCCCCCAGGCCCCACCCATCCCCACTCACCAATACCCTGGAAGATGGGGTCAACAATAGCAACGTGCCCTCGGCCAGAGAAAGCCTCAGCCTGATCCACCAGAGCCTCCTTCAGCACCTCGTACCCACACAGGATGATGACAGGCCAGGGCCCCAGGTAGACCGTGAAGACATCACCATATTTCTCCTGCAGCTGTGTGGGCAGGGTCAAGATCTCACTCCCTAACTAAAGAGAAGGGTCTCCATCTTCACACCCACATCATACTTCCAGTGTAGCCTAGACCTGGCTGGCTGCAGCCCCATTGGGAAGAAGGCACACTTGCATTCCATGGCCCCCAACCCTCCCATGCAGCCCTCACCCCAAGTGTCCTCCTCCCTCAGCTTTTCCAAACCCTCCCAGCTTCTATTTGAGGAATTGCAGAGGCTCCCCACATCTGAGCTCTAGTCCGTCCCAAATCAGGACCACAGCTCAAAGTCTCCAGTCTGTCAGAACTTCTCCCTCCAGTCTCCCTTTTCTACATTCCTACTCAGGAATTCCAGAAGCTTCTCTAGTGGGCATATTGGCCAAGATTGTGGCTGAAAGAAACCAACCCCCAGGATTGCCTGAGAAGTCCCATCCTAAAATTGACCCCCAATTGCCTTGCTGCCTGTGAGCTCCTCCTGTCCACCCCTCCGCATCTCACTGCCTGGAAGGACTTGAGAGGCACTTGTGGTCTATTTGCAAAATGTTCCCCAGGAAGGGCAGAGGCCGGGGTCCAGGAGGGAGGTGGCCCCAGGAGGTGTGGTGGCCCCAGATTAGCAAGAGGACTATAAGGATGATGAGGAGCAGGCCAGTCCAGAACGCCATGCTCCTTGCTGTGTCTGCCTTCCATTCCGCTGTTTCTCTTAAAAGGTAGGTTGCCCTGTGTGTTGTTTTTTCTGTGCTTAGTGGGAGAGGGTATGCCAGAAATTTACCTTGACAGAACTCCTTGTAACTCACCAGAGGCAACAGGGAACCCAAAGGTGGCAGGTGTTGCGGAGGCCAAGAAGTCTAGCATCTTGATTGGATCCCAAAGCTTCCTTCCCATGGATGGCCTGAGGTATCTTGGTGGGGAGTGCCCTTGAATGAAGAGCACCTCCCTCAAGAAAGGGTGGTATGCCAGCTGGTGGAACAGGTGATAAAGTCTGAGCTCTGGGTCCAAACTGTCTGGGTTCAAATTCAGGTGAAAGCTGTTTCATGGTTTTTGCACTGCAAGTGTGGCTCTCAGCCCTTTTTATCAGAGGGTAGCATTGCATCTGAGGGATGAGTATAGCTGGCAGGTCCAAAATTGGAGCATCTTGTGCCACTGGGACAGGGACATGTTCGAGGCATCAGAACAAAGTG